TGCTTAAGAGTTGCTGAGTTCTTATATGATTTTTAAAATATAAGACTTTCTTCCATCTTGGAACTATAGGAAAATGTCAGCCTCGCCCAGTTAACACCTTTTGCTATTAACTTTTCTTTCCTCAAAGGTACAGGGACCAACAATCTAGTTTTTATTTAAATTTCAGACCATGATAATGACCTACAAGAACTTCATGGTCAAGTACTGGAATTTGCTGGAGGGCTGGCTCTATCTCTGGCCTGCAGACAAAGAAAACTCAAGTCATATTCCAGAGCTGTCTAAAAACTCCCCAGACCTGTTGAAAAGGGGGTTCACATGAAACAACTAATGAGACAAAATTATAGGATACAGATTAGCCTGCTTGTTCCTAACTAAGCTATGAGTCATAAAGGAATAGGCCTATCTTTGCCTTCACTGCATATTCAATCTTGGATACTTCTCAAATGGATACAGTAAGTACAATTTAAGGCAGAACAACTTTCTGCCAAGAACTTTTTTTTTTTTTTTTAAATGTCCAAAAGTCTTCATCTGAGTTCTTCACACAATGCAGAGACTGGGCAGGTTGTTAATTTTCTTTTCTCCATGAACAAGAATGGCCTTAATGACCATACTAGGATTAATAGTGTGAGACTGTGGGCAGCCACCCTGGTAACTGCTGGCTGCCATGTATTCCAACTGATCTTTTCCATTTGGACACTGAGTTTCAAATGTACAGGGAAGAGGAGTTAGTATTGTGAAGAACTGGGCAATCCCGGTATCTATACCGAGTTACTGGTAATACTTTTTATGAGAACTCAAAGATACCAGAATACATTCCTTTAACTATCATGTTAATATCATGGTACTTAAATATTTTAAAATGTTGGTTCTGCTTTTACATGCTACATCGTGGTGAAGAAGGAATCTCTACAATACCAGTGCCTTTTACAGGGGTATGATAAATCGGGATAATTAGAGGTGAAATCTTCCCTTAAAATTTCTGAGTGTGAGCCTGGACTAATATTAAGGAACAGGTAGTTCTACACTGAAAAAAAAAAAAAAAAAAAAAAAAACAAAAGGAAACAAAAAATCTAAAAGCCCTCAGCACTATATTTAGTGACTGCTATTCCTGGATTATTTTATTCTGCTAACAAGAAAACTGTATTGTTAGAACTTAGTGTTTGCAATCATACCCGAGCAGCATAAAAAAAGTGGCCCTTGAAAATTATAATACCACTTTGTTTCTATAGGAAATATCTCTCTTTGAGAAAGAAGTATGATAATTCACAAAAACACCTATTTTATTTGTAGAAGCGTGCCTACCCGGAGGGGGACACTTGACGGGATGAGCACTGGGTGTTATTCTGTATGTTGGTAAATTGAACACCAATAAAAATTAATTTATTTAAAAAAATAAAAAAAAATAAAAAAAAAAAAAGAAGCGTGCCTACCTGTGGTTACCATGTAACTGGACTGTCTATAACTACAAAGGTTGTAACATCCTTTCCATGCACTGTATTCTGATTCTCCCTCTCTAAGGAAAACTAGGATCACATTCATGTAAGCAAAACAAAATGCTTCTGGGCAGTAACATTTCCATCAGATGTGTGAATATATCAAATGGATTTAAAATATTGTATAAAGTACTACAGAGATGTGAAAGGCTTCTTTCAGTGGAACAGTAGAACTTATAAAATAAAATGGTATATACTTTTAATGCTATAGGTAATGTACTACACATATTTTCACTTGGATATTGAGTAGTAAACATTGGAAATACACTGTAAAAATATGAAGAATGTACAAGAAGGGTTCTTATTCAGATCTAAATTTAAGATAAAATTGCTACATAAGAGGCAATAGAGAACTGATGATACAAAACATTACATGCTTCACATTCTCTTTGTTACAATTTTCTGTACTTTTTTCCCCTCATATTTTAAAGTAGGAAGCTTCTCAAAGTTGCTTTTACCCCTCATGGTATTATGTTATGGAATTCCAGAGCTTAATCCTGGAAAGCTCATGCTCTCCTAACTGCTGATGAGAGAAAGTTCACAAAGAATCAATAAAGAAACTACTCAGAGAGCCAGTTCTGGGAAAGTGGTGAATGGAGACCAGTACAAAAGCACAGATTTTACACTCCATGGAAATTTCTCTGAAAGTGTGTATTTTTGTTGTTTTATTATTAAAATATCCTTGGAAATGTTATTTATATGAAGAACTTTAACATCCAGAGTTTTGAAATAGCTGTCATGTCCTGAAAAATGTAACCTGTAACTCCTAAAAGTATACAGAACTTTTCTTGGTTGTTTTATTTTGGAAGATTTTTGACCCAATTATTATTTAAATAGCTCAGCTTTCTGAAAAGTATGTCTTTAGAAAATTTTGAATTCTTTATTCAATCAAAAGAGTTTTTTATATGTTTCAATTAATAAATATGACCAGATTTTTAAGAATCCAACTTGATAATCTGTCTTAAATTAAATCTATTTATACTTGTTATTATTGATATATTGGATTGATCTCTTTCTGCTTTTTTTTCTCCCTTCCATCAGCTGGGTTTATAAAATAGTCTATATTCCTTCCTGTGCCCCTTTTAGCTTTTTGCTGTTTAAGAGCTACAAGTTGTTTTCTTTTGGTGGTACCCTTTTAATACATATAATAAAGTCTAAAGTTATTTGGTACTTCCTCCTCCAGAAGATTTTAAGGATTGATGAATATGCTTAAATTACTCATTAAACATGTTTTCCTCCCCATGTTACTATTGTCATCTAGTTTAAATTCCACATTAAGGGGGATCCCTTGGTGGCTCAGTGGTTTGGTGTCTGCCTTCAGCCCAGGGCGTGATCCTGGGGACCTGGGAGAGAGTCCGACATCAGGCTCCCTGCATGGAGCCTGCTTCTCCCTCTACCTGTGTCTCTGCCTTTCTCTCTCTGTCTCTCGTAAATAAATAAATATTTGAAAAAAAAGATTCCACATTAGGAATTTTTAAAAATGAGTTTTTATGACATTTTTGTTTTTAATCAATAAATTTATCATTTGTCAAGTTTTGTGGTCACCACTACTTTCTATGTTCCATTCTTTCAATTCCCTTCCTCCTGGAGAAAGCTTTAGTAGTTTTTCAAAAAGAGGGTCTATTTTCCTGGTTAATGAAAATGTGTATTTTGTCCACAGTCTTGAATACATTTAGCTGGGTATGAAATTCTAGACTGATAGCCACCCCCCGCCCTTAGTACTATAATACTATAATATTTCACCACTGTCTTCTGTCCATTCTAGTGTATTTGTCTTTTTTTTCCCCCTTTGGTGGCTTTTAAGGTTTTCTCTTTAACCCTAGAGTTACAGCATGATGTACTGAAGTATGGATTTGACTTCTTTATCCTGCTGGTAGTTGTAGCATATTTTTAATCTGAAAACTTGGTATAACCTTCAGTTCTTTTCAATATAGTTTTCCCACCATTCCTTCCATTTATTTTGTTCTTTAAAAATCCTATTGGGTATTTGCTGGAATTTCTCCATTGACCAAGCATTGCTCTTAACTGCTCCTTTAGGTTAACAAACAAACAAACAAACAAACAAACAAACAAAAAACCCTGTTTCTGGGTGAACCTCTCATCATTACCTTCCAGTCATAGTTCTCATTTCATCTACATCTAATCTATAGTTTAATTCTGTATATTCCAATTTGGTTTCGATGACTACATTTTTCATTTCTAAGTCTCTCAATTAGTAGTCATATTCAACCATTCTATATCATTTCTGCCTTTTCAGTTTCACAATTTTTTATTCATTCTCAATGGATGTTATATCATCAATTATCTTTTTATCTAAAACATGTATTTTAAAGTCATGGTCAAGCTGTGTGTCTGGAATAAATACATATATATCCCAATAGTTGATTTGGTTGGAGGTCTTTCCTAGTATTGAATTTCTTTATGAATTTTGGAATTGCAGTGTATCAGAGTTTTGAATGGGAGGCTTTTGCTTTGGGATGTTTGTTTACTTCTTCTTTCTCTCTGTGTACATCCTTTCTTGTCTAGTAGGTTTGCATTTGCTTCTACCAGGGCCCCTGGAGTCAAGTCTGGAAAAAGTCTTATAATGAATATCTGGAGCAACTCTTTCATTAGTATACTGTGGATATCATATATCCAGTCCAGAATAAGCGGAAACAAAGCTTGACATGAAGCTGTGTCTTTGTTATCCCTAGACCCACAGCTTCCTATAAATCCATAGCCCTGGGCAGAAAATTGGTAACATTTTTTCTTAGCTTCTTTTCAAAAGTGGGTAAAGTTCCACCCTAGTTCCTGGCTTCAAGCAGGGAATCTGGCTGGTCCCCTGGTCCCATATGAAACACATCTGGTGTCTATCACTTGTAGCCAAACTCTTGGGTGCCACCACCTTCTTGGGATGAGTCCAGCAGGCCTAAGACTTCAGTATCACTCACTACTTGGCATTTCTGATCCATTAAGATATTTTTCTTGTTTCTGGAAGCCCAGCTTTGTCTTTCTCCTTTTATATTTACCTGTCAATTCTATGTGTCTGGAGCAAAGGGAGTAAGTCAAAACATACACTTAATGTGCCATCTTGACTGGAAAATTTACATAATCCTTTAACATTGTATTTGAGCAAAATTTAATGATTAAGCTGTGTAAGTAAAATTATCAGGGAATATTTAAACCCCTTATTAGTACCCAAATGACAAACTAATTATAAAATATCATTTTCATAAATGTAAATTAAATCCTAACTTGAGGTTCAAAACACATGCACCTGAAAACAATTACACTGCAAAATAAGCCTATAACACAGACAATGCAGAACAACTTCTTTCAGGTCTGAAATCAAATTAGTCTTACTTGTGCAAGGAAGACACAGACTCTCAAACTAATACTTACCAGCTTTAACCAAAACTAAAGAAATATTTCTGTGAAACTTAACTTAAAAAGAGTATCAGCTAAACAGAAAAACAGACAACTACTTATTATGCTTAGTAAAAAAAAAAAAAAAAGAAAAATGTATACCTTTTCACTTGTTAAAAATTTTGCAAAATATACATGTTCTCCTCCTGTTTTTAATTCTTCCATTTTTTTCCTTGAGGCTTGAGTATCATCTAATTTATAACTTTTAAAAACAGCTAGAACTTCTTCAGAATACTGCAAAGTAAAAATACCAATTAGTTTTATTTGGTATTGTTGCCCAATAATTTTTTTAGTGCTTTTTTATATCAAAATATTTAGAATTTACTCATAGTTAACCACGTATGCACATTGTAAAGCACATAAAACAAGAAAAACTATGATGGCAAAATGAGATTAAAACTATTTGGTATGAGAGTTCATGGTATTGTCAAAGCAGGAATAAACTTTCTACTCCTGAGGAAATGTAATTTCTTATGCAGTTTGTGTAAGGGACCAACAGAGAATGTAATGCTTTGAGAGTATCCAGAAATTTACCAGTGAAATGAGATGTTTAACCAGCTGTTAAATGCTGAAGCATTTCTTGTGCTAAATGCTGTGACCAAATAAAACAATGACATCAAATCCTACCCAGCTGGGGAACAATTCTAGATGATTTCTTATTCACCACTTAATCTGAACACATACCATGCTACTTTTAAGAGCTACCTATTTGCTTTTGATTTTGACTATAATCAAAAAGGACAACTGGTATTTAAGCAGCCAAGAAAAAGAAATATAGGGAATTCTTATAAAACAAAGACTAGCCATTTTTTTTTCTGATAGTAGATATATTAGGCTTGTTAACCTTTTTTTTTTTTTTAATATTTTTAAGTAATCTCTATACCTAAAGTGTGGATCAAATTTAAAACCCTGACATCAAGCGTAGCATGTTCTACTGACTGAGCCTGCAAGGCACCTCTAGGCTTGTTAATCTTAAAAATAAAACTACCAAGGGCACCGGGATGGTGCAGTTGGTCAAGTGTCTGATTCTTGGTTTTTTAGCAAGGTCCATCTCTTCCAGTTGGCTCTGCAAATGGCAACTAGTGCTGAATGTGAAAGTTCTCCCTGCTGGCTTTCGATTCCATTTTAAAAGAAGCTTCCTTCTATTAATATTCACAGGCTATCTGGCTCATATGGTCTCTGTCACACTACTCAAATATGCCATTACAGTACACAAATATCTACAAGTATGAGCATGGCTGTGTCCCAAGATAACTAACTCTATCTATGAAAACAGGCAGAAGGCTGGATTTGGCCCATGGCTATAGTTTGCAATCCTTATTATTTCAAGTATCAACAGGACACTTGAAATAATTTTGTGCAAAGTGAAGACAACATATTTGACAAAAATTCATCAACTCATGTTGACAATACTATATAAAAACAAACAAAAAACCCAAGGCTGTAATTATGAACTTTTAAATCCCTAAATCATACTACTTCACAAAATCTGTGGTTTATAACATTAGAAAATAGGCGTAAACATGTAAGAGTTAAAATTATATAATAACAAGCATACTGGATAAGAGTCAAACTTTACTTCTGCCATTAACTGTAAAAATATTGGGTTTTGGGTACCAGGTGGTCAGCAACTCACCTTAAGAAAAGTTTTCCATGAAATCTTCTCATAGCATTGCACAGGGTTCCTGAAGTAATCCTGAAGTGACCAGAATTTTCGATACAGGTTGTAATCAATTGGAATGGAGCTAATAAAATAAATGTTATATTAAATAAATCACTTAAGTTCTTTTAGAAATATCTAAGTGCTCCTAACTTTTCTTAGTTCATATACCCCTTTAAGAAGCTGATGATAGCTACAACTCCTTTCCCCAGAAAAGTGCACATTCATACTTCTATAAACTTTTATAAACAATTTCAGGGGATTCAAAGACCCTAAAAAGACCCACTTTATCTAGAACTCCTGGATTCTGGCCCAGTACATGATTGTTTAGATTTAAGACCATGTTTCCCAACCTCTCTTGTGGTTAGGTGTGGCCCCATTGGTTAAATTCTGGCTACTTGGGAATAGAAGTAATATGTTCAAATCCGGGCCATGTTTTACCATTTTCCTTTATCCCGTTTTGCTGGCCATAATACACATATGATGATGAGCCACATGGACTATAGGAAAAAAAGCAAATACCAAGAGATAGTGGGACAAGTTAGGAGGAACATAGGTCCCTAGACAATCTCCCTGAAAAGTGATACTCTACTAGCTGTAAACTGCCTGTCTCCAGACTTTTCCTCAAGAAAGAAATCAACTTCCACATTAAGCTAGTGTCACCTTTAAACTATGCTAAAGGCCATGGCATGAGACAGATATGTAAAGTACACATCAACTCAGTATTACAAAAATAAGCCTTTTCTTTAGTATCTTTATTACAGTATTCCTAATTCAACTTGCACTTTCACTGTTACAAATCTGCATTATCAATACACATTCTTTAAATTTTTAAATTTACCAAAATTACACTATGTTTTGATTTTAAAAGTTAAACATTTCAGACTTTACCTAAGAGATTTTTGTTTTTAACAAAATTTTCTATAGCATTCAAAACACCCATTATGTAAAAAAAAATGCTTGTGGTATTAACTATTTCATATCCTCAAATATTCACTAAAATTTTCAACATCACCTATGTAAAATTAATTTTATTTCTAAACACAATTGTGTACTACTTTCTAATCTTCCTAAATAAACCTTAATAAACTGAATCTATGGATTACAGTTAGCATTTTCTCTAAGCCTCATAGCCATACAAGTGTTCCAAGGAAGACTGTAATTTCATGTGGCAAACAGGAAGGGGGTTGGGGTTTAGTGAGCCACACAGCACTATGATGTTAAGAGTCTTGCCTTCTCTAGTCTGGTCAATAATAGGAAGCTAAGTTAATCTTCCACTCTTCATCTTTGAGATGGATATATTTAAAATTACTTTTTTAATGACTAGGGAGTATCAGGGGCCATATTATAATGTATTTTAAAGGATTATAGAAAAGTAAAAGGAGTATAATTTTTATCATGTACTTTTTAATTTTTAAGGTTTTGGGGTGAGAGGGTAATGTTTAAAAACCTGAAAAATGCCATGCATACTACATACATACATACATACATACGTGTGTGTGTGTGTGTGTGTGTGTAGTGCAAAAATCAGTTTTCTAGAAAAATGTCTGAAAAGCCATTAGTGAAGAATGCCAAAGGAAAAGTAGTTTAGTATAACATGTGGAAACACATGTGATAAAGATTCTCACCATATGACTCTAATTCATATGGTTAAGATTACAAAGTACAAGTTCGTATCATAAAATACCTATTTAAAGAATTTTATTAAATTTATATTAATTGGTATATAGATTTAAAAAACCCACATACACCTACACACATAGTAACAGATCACTTATATTAGATTCACACTTCTGACAACTGTAACTGCCTGGAACAAAGCTTTGAACTTGGCAATAACTGAAAAAGCCCTTGGTCTGCAAGAAAACAGCAGTTTAACAAAGTGCATGCACTTCATTTTACAAAAGAGGATTGAAATTATACTTAGGTACTTACCTAAATTATAACCACTTTGAATTATGTATAAAGGTAAATAACTATTTTATTTACCTTGAGATAAAAGAATGCTACCTTTGCTAGAACTACTAATATTTGAAACATGTGGATCTTGTTTCAAATCAATAATGAAGAATACTGACAACTTTTAATTGACCAAAATCCAGCTCCTGCCAAAAGTTTTATCAAGAATCAGCAGTAGTCAAAAAAATCGAAGGGGCATGTTAACTTTCATTCTTTCTACACTCTTTCCTAGTAAAAACTCTGAAAACAGGAAAACAGTGATCTGAACGTCAACTGACATCAACTATTTTCTATAACTGAAGCAATTTCATTGACTTATAACGAGATTATAAATCTGGGTTTTGGGCAGCCCAGGTGGCTCAGCAGTTTAGCACTGCCTTCAGCCCAGGGTGTGATCCTGGAGACCCAGGATCAAGTCCCACGTCAGGCTTCCTGCATGGAGCCTGTTTCTCCCTCTGCCTGTGTCTCTGCCTCTCTCTCTCTTCTCTCTGTCTCTCATGAATAAATAAATAAAATCTTAAAAAAAAAAAAATCTGGGTTTTATACAGATCAAGTTAAAAAAAAAGTCATGCACACATAAAACCCATAAAAGGAACATTTTCCAAAATGTGCAAGTAAATTGGAAAAAAGAAAAAGCCACATGTAAAATAATTAATACCCATGAAATAACATGGTATTTGTGTAGTTCCATACGCTTAATAAAGAATGTTTTTGAGGGGCGCCTGGGTGGCTCAGTTGGTTGGGCATCTGCCTTCAGCTCAGGTCATGATCCTGGGGTCATGGGATCGAGTCCCATGTGGGGCTCCCTGCTTAGCAAGTAGTCTGCTTCTCCCTCTCCTCCCTAGTCATTCTCTCTCTCTCTCTTTCTCTATTTCTGCCTCTCTCAAATAAATAAAAATTTTAAAAAAAGAAATGTTTTTGAAACCAAACTGCTTTTGAAGATTTTCTAGTTTTATATGTACAGTTACACACACACACACACAGTTACTCAGTTACCACATATGAGAATATAATAAACACCTCTTGAAACGTAGTACAAGAAAAGTTTGCCTCTTACTAATGCGATACGGTCTCTAATCAGAATGAGAATTACGTAACCATTATATGTTCCTTTATTGTCTCACTTGCCAGAAAGCTCACATCTTAATTTACTGTTTGATACTAATAACAATCTTACTCTAAGTTGTTAATTATCATCGCCTACTTATTAAACCTTCTGATCTCTTTTTCATTTGGCCTAGTATTTATCTTAGGTGCCTCACAGGAGAAATTTTATAGTAGTATTAATATATGACTACTAGAAAACCTTTTAATTGAGGCACTAAAATTTTTAAATATCTTCTCGTTTGAAAGTTCCAATCCATGCTGTCCCTCCATGGCTTTTTCTTCATGTCTCAATGTCCTGAAAATCATTTACACTCAATGTCACCACATCCTCACCCTCCTTTCATGTTTTGATCCACTGCAATTTGACCTCTAACTTCAACATTCCACAAATACATCTGGATTCTGTATTTATCTACACAAAGCATATGTAACTACTTGTTGTATACGAAAACCGTAACATATTAAGGTGAGAGTTACAGTCTAAAACAGAATGTTGGGACGCCTGGGTGGCTCGGCAGTTGAGCATCTGCCTTTTGCTCTGGGTGTGATCCCGGAGACCTGGAAACGAGTCCCGAATTGGGCTCCTTGCAGGGAGCCTGCTTCTCCCTCTGCCTTTGTCTCTGACTCTCTCTCTCTCTCTGTGTGTCTTTCATGAATAAATATATAAATCTTTAAAATATATATATTAAAAAAAATAAAAACAATGTTTTCGGGGTGCCTGGGTGGCTCAGTCTGTTGGGTGTCTGCCTTCGGCCTGGGTCATGATCACAGGGTCCTGGAATGGAGCCCTGAGTCGAGCTCCCTGCTCAGTGGGGAATCTGCTTCTCCCTCTGCCTCTGTCCCCCGCTCATGCTCTCTAATAAATAAATAAAATCTTAAAAAAAAAAAGAAAAAAAAAAGTTTTGTAACTATTTTAACCAAGATGTTCTGCAACTTGACATTTTTTAAAATGTTGAGCTGGTGATTTTACAGAACATTAAATTGGATTTTTTTTTAATCCAGAATTTTTTACTGGTGTATTTGACCCAAATCTGAAATGGGCTTCATACTATAGATACATGGGTAATGTGTTCTCTGTAAATGACAGTGCCTAAAACAATCTGGTGATACAATTAGTCACAAAGTAATTTCCTAATCTCTTCCTTTATTTAAAAAATAGTGAAGAGGATTTAAAAGGTAAAACCTGCAGTTTTAAGATAAGTCACTGGAATGTTAAGTATAGCATAGGGAATGCAGTCAACAACACATTATAATAGGTTGACAGATGGCAGCTAGACTTATCCTGGGGATCACGTCCTACTGTGTAAAAACACGAATCATTATGTTGTATACCTGAAACTAATGTATTACTGTATATCAACCACATTTCAATTAAAAAAAGGACAAAATAAAATAAAATGATTGTGACAGACTAAGAGTATTGAATCCTGTTTACCTGATTTTTCTGCAACTGGGACTAGCTAATAGTCAATGGGGCCGATTTATCTATACAGGTTTAGGCAGAGTCTAACTACACAAAACTGCATTGGGCAGTTTGTCTTTGGGGGCTCTTTTTACATTTCAGGTGACCTGTTATGTTGAAGCCTACTGCCTTGATCCTTTATGTTGCTCAGGTCAGACCCCAAAAGTATACTCTATACACAATGTACATGAAGAAATAGGTCTCTAAAAAACCACAACAAAAACAAAAACCCAAAACACAGAACTATAGCTAGTAATAAGAGCTAACAAATAAACTGTTCTAATAAGCGCTTTCCGTAGATCACTGTATATAACATCAACAACTAAAGAAACAATAACTACTGTGTATCTTAGACCATATCCAAGCACCATCTCATTTAATAATCTCAATGAGCAGGTAGGGCCATTACTACATTATATATTTTTTTTTTAAGATTTTATTTATTCATGAGAGACACACAGAGAGAGAGAGAGAGAGAGAGAGAGGCAGAGACAGAGACATAGACAGAGGGAGAAGCAGGCTCCATGCAGGAAGCCCGACGTGGGACTCGATCATCCCAGGTCCCCAGGATCAGGCCCTGGGCTGAAGGTGGCGCTAAACCGCTGAGCTACCCGGGCTGTCCCCCATTACTACATTTTAAAGACACTGCAACTGAGTTGCAGGGAAGTCAGGTAATTGCTTTAGGTTACATGGCTAGAATTGGAATTCAGCCTGGAGCCACACTACTCTCGATGCTTCTTTGGAGATAATGTGTTTGAATCTGAAATCTGGGATGCAGGTATACACATCTCTCTGTGCAGGTATTAGAAACTCTTCTTGATCCTCGAGAAATTCAATTGCAACTGATAACTTTTGTCACCTCAGACACCTGGAAGTGAATATTTTCCTTCATATCTCCCTTTTTCTCTTCCTAATTGCTCCTAATGAGCATTAGGAAGAAATTATTTGGAAAGAAAGCACAGAGTTAGCAGATGAGATACGAAACAAAAGATGGGTATGGGAAGGGAAGAAGAGGGAAAGGAGGTTACTTATTCTTCTTACTTCATTAAAAAGCCAGCCCATTATCCACAGGCACTAGGTCCACAAAGTTAATAGAAGGAAAAAGGGGAGGAGTGCCTAGGTTGCCTATGGTTGGGTTTTCAAATGTTAGGAATATGCGTAAAGTAGGCCATGTAAATAATGAATTGTCTGTATGTAATTTAGAAACCAACTGATAAAGCCTAGTAGTGATTTAGGATTTATAATTATAATACACATAAAAAACCAAATAAAAGAAATCTATAAGCATGATTTCCTTCTTCCTTGTGTATATCTTGACACTTGTACTTGAACTTCTAAAACTCACCAAGTTGTTGGAGCTTCATCATCTCCCATTTCACCTTCTTCTACATCCATTCCTTCTTCTCTATCCTCAGTGTGCTAAATTTAAAAAAATGTACAATGTGTCACAAAGCAATTGTCAGGCAGAAGACAAATGCTGGAATAACATCATTCACACACTGCTAGACAGATGCTTTTAGAGAAATCTAGTCATGCTTCTGTAAAAAAACTAGTTATTCTTTAAGGCAATGGCAATTCTATGTGACAAAGATCTAAGAACCCAAGAGCAGTATGACAATGACATAAGATAGTCATGAAGATATAGTTAAAAAGTTTTAAATCAGTATTTCTCCAAACCTGGTCTGTAGATTCTCTATGGGAATAAATACAATGACCTTTCGGAGAACTGATTAAGGACTCTAAAAATTGTAGTAAAGAACTCAAAGTATACTTAAGTAGTTTTGTCCCAACTTTAATTTGACCATAGAAATCCTCCCCCAACCCAACAGAGAACTCTTATTTTTGGGAAACACTTTATGATATGCTGAGTGTCTAGTTCTATAGTGAGAAATTCAAAATAACAAGTTTACATGAAATAGTCCAAGAAGTACCAAAAGATATATAACAGTGAGAGGCAAGATTTTTAAAAATCTTAAGACAACACCACTTCCAAATTGATAATAATTACATTTTAAGGAACAAATTATGTAAGATAATCTAATTTACAGTGAGATGTTAGTTATATCTAATTAATAATTTTTTAAACTTGATAACTTGTTCCTAAATGAAGAATAGGTGTTGAATGTCCAGAAATTTGTCTTCTGAATATATCATAAATTATCTTTAAAATAGAGTTGATTATACCTGATGTCCCTTTAAAAATGAGTGGGCAAATATGGATTATTTAACAAATGGTTCTGAGATAACTAGCTCACTATTTGGAAAAAATAAAATTATAACTTAACTTACTCCATACTCCACATTCATGCTGGATTAGATTTTAAAAAAAAATTACTCATAAAAGCATCAAAAGAAAACAAAAAGGCTTATATAATCTTCTGGAGTGGAAGCCTTTAGCATGACACAAGGCTAGAAACAATTAAAAGACCAACAAACATTAATATTATATCCAAATTTTAAAATTCTATACAGCAAAAGCACCATAAATAAAGTTATAAGAAAGCTATATGAGAAAAAAAATCAACAAAATGGTAGGCAGTGATTTAATATAATCCCATATGAGCTTCTATACATCAGTAAGAAAAAGATATTTCAAAAGTAAAATGAGCAAATGGCATGAATAGGTAATTCTCTTCTTTACTACTTCTAATTGGCACAGAAAAAAAAATAAATTCCAATAAACATAAAGTCCCTCAACTTCACTAATAACCAAGGGAATGTAAGTTAAAACAAAGATCTACTTTTTCAAGTATATATCAATTAAGCAAAGATTTTTTAAAATTGGTAATTCCCAAGGTTGGTATGAGGCCGTGTGAAAATGTGCAGGCATTCTCCAAGTGCCACTGGTGATGGTATAAATGAGTATGACCTTTTTGAGAAGTAAATGGTCAATAGCTATCAAAATCTGATATATGCAAACATTTTGACACAATTTCATTTACTGTAATTTATCCCAAGGAAATACCTGCATAATTTAGAAATGGTATCTACAATACCATTCATTATATATAATGTTGTTAACCATTTTTCACAATTAGAAATTATCCAAATGCCCACTGACAAGATTATGAGATATATATATATTATACACACACACACACACACACACACACACACACACATACTTGGAAGACTTATCAGGAACCTTTAGACACAAATCTAATGTACTGATGCAGAAATGCATCCATTTTATACTCTTAAAAGAAGAAAGTGAATTCCAGAACAATATGTATTGTATGACCTCAATTTTGGAATAAAACTACACACATATTAAGTCTTGTAAAGACAGGCAATGCTAAAAGTGTTTACCTTTGGGGCCTTGGATTATTGGATTATGGGGTAGCTGTACTTTCTATTTTTTTTTGTACTTTCTATTTTAAATATTTCTATTTTGTTTGCATTTTTTATACAGACTACACATTATTTCTATAAATTAGAAATAAAGGTTTAAAAATTTTTGGTGACTTAGAAGACCCATTCACAGGAGTTATCTTAGTAATAAACTTATAAATATGTTTGTTAGATTTCTTAGCCTCACCTTCTGACCCAAGGTGCTTTCCTGCTCATTGGTATTGAAAACAGTGACATTTTCCAGATTAAATTGACTCTGCAAGTTAAGACCTATTAGAAAGAAGCAGAAAGAAAAGATTTTCAAAGCAAACCCACCAAACAACTGAAGAATACAACTTTGCTGTCATATAACCAAAACAAAGAAAATGATAAATCCAAAATTAAAAGATCAAGTCAGAAATAACACCACACTTGATTTTCAAATCCTTTCTAAAATTCATTTCTTTAAGGTGCCTTCAGAGTACTCAGAATTCTACACAATACATTATAACAAATACAGTTGTCCTTGTTATTAATAGTTTAGAACAATTTTACAGAGTGCAATACAAAGTAATTTATAATTTCCCTGAAGCACAAATAAAAATTGTATTAATCAAAAAGTAAGAGTGTTAACAACATATACAGTAAATAAACCTTAGTTAATGAGAGTCAGGTTTCTCACTGTCAAAGACAGAACTTATAAATGAACATTAATACTGGTACTGGTTTAAACTCCTAGGTTTCACAATGATCTCATGTTTTTTGTTGTTGGTTGTTTAAAAATACACAGGCAGACACAGAAGTAAATACACACACACACACACACACACACACACACACACACACACACGGGTTTGTAATACATACATATCTTTCCTAGCTCTGTCCACCAAGAACCCAGAAGCAGTGATACTCCAGTAGTAATTAGCAGATCTAGGACCCAGATCTTGGCTTCTATATACTATTCTTAAATAAAAGGAATCAGGCTCTTTGGAGAAGTGGGTGATTCCAGGGGTGGGGTAGGGAAAACACAAGATGAGCCGAGACTATCTTCTCATACCAGGAAAACATGAAAGAGCTCCCAATGGGCAAAACTAGAACAATCTGAGTGAGAAACTAAATAATTATATTATGGGATTGTAACCCACAGAATAAAATATCTACATTCACATTAAAACAGGTTACTGAATTAATAATAAGGGAGAGGAGACAACTCTTCCTTATGAAGAATCCCAAGTAATACATGAAGAAGGCATAAGAGAAATCGAAAATCACCACTAGGACAACCTAAAAATCATTGCTGCAGGCAATATTCATTCACTGGTGAATACTAAAATTAGTGGGCAAAAGTCTAAGAAGAAGAGTATTTGCAGAGTCTCCAAGTATTTGCCTTCAAGAATAACAAAGGTAAAAACAGCAACTTAGCAACAGAAAAATATGGTGATCAAGGATAACATTACCAGTAATAAGACATATCAACAACATGTTGAAATGATGCACCAAGAAGGGCATATCACCTCTGTAGTCTTCTTCCCCCAAATCTATACTCAATCTAATTACGAAAAAAATTAGACAAACTTATACTGAAGGACATTCTGCAAAATACCTGACCAGTATTCTTCAAAAGTGTCTAAGTCATGAAAAAAGCAAAGACTGAGACTAGGGAGAGTAAAGCAACATGGCAAGTGACTGCAATGTGGGATCCTGGACTGAATCCTTGAACAGAAAAAAGAAAAACAGTGATGAAACTGGTAAAATCCAAATAAAGTCTTCAGTTAACAGTGCTGTACCACCAATGTTTTGGTAACTGTTTTGGTGCACTGTGGTCATGTAAGAAGCTAACATTAGGTGAGGGGTTATTCAGGTACTCTATTACCTCCTCAATTCTTCTTTAAGTCTAAAGTTATTTCAGAACAAAAAGCTAAAGTTAAAAAAAAAACACTATCAAATCATTAAGCTAGTGAATGAATCTGGTTGCTCATTTAGCAGTGACTGCTTAAAATATTTGTCTATTCTCTATTACTCAATATAGCACATGTAATTCTCATTACATCAAAAATTTCAGGCATACTTCACATGCTAAATTACACACAGAACTGGATTTTTGCAGGTCTTGGGATATACCCTAGTGAATGTCAAGTGCCTACAAATGTTTATTTATTTATTTTTTTTAAAAGATTTATTTATTTATTTTTATTATTTATGATAGACACAGAGAGAGAGAGAGAAAGAGGCAGAGACACAGGAGGAGGGAGAAGCAGGCTCCATGCACCGGGAGCCCGACGTGGGATTCGATCCCGGGACTCCAGGATTGTGCCCTGGGCCAAAGGCAGGCGCCAAACCGCTGAGCCACCCAGGGATCCCTACAAATGTTTAAAAAAGATACTATAAGAAAACACCCCAAAATGCCAACCTGGCTTATGTTAGTGTGCTAGGATTAATTATAAACAGCTTTTCCTCTTCATTTTCCAAATTTTCTGAAATAGGTTATTTTTATAATTTATAAATTACATTTTAAAACACCACTTATTAAAGGATATGTAATGTTTAAAGCTACCTTAAACAACATATTATTATTCTTTCAACCAGTCAATAAGAAAAAAATGGATTCTTTATGTCTTGCCACTTTAGTAATGCTGTACATTGAAAAAAGCGCTAAAGCATTCTTTAAAAAATGAGGAGTTCTATAAATAAAGGGGATGAAGAGCACACTTATCTTGATGAGCACTGAGTAACAAGAGAATTCCTGAATCATTATACACTTAAAACTAACAGAACATTATATGTTAATTATGCCTCAATTAAAAAAAATAGAATGGGGGGAAGCTATAAATAGCACCATGTCAATACTTCTGAAATTTTAGATAATATTCACAAATTCCCAGGGGAAAAAAAAGTTACCAAAACTGTCTCAAGAAAAAAGGAAAAGTCTGAATAATTGCAAATCTGTTTCATAAACCAAACCATAGCCATAATACTTTGTTAAGGATAACTGCTTCAATCGTAAACTCTACCAAACATTCAAGAAGGAAATAAAACACAATTACTCCAATTCTTCTAGAAAAGAAAAATATGAAAACTTCCAATTCATTTTATCAAAGCAGCTTAATTTGCTACAAAAATCTAACAAGATCACTATAGAGAAGGAAATTTATACACCATTCTCTTTCCTGAACTAAAATGACAGATCTTTAAAAAAATTAATATTCCAAATCTAGCTGTATTTTATGAGGCCATATCATAACCAAATTTGGATTATGCAATGCAAAAAAAAAAAAAAAAGGACGAGAGTGGAGGCTGGAAATAACTGGAAGGACCAAAAAAATGGTTGAAAATTGAAACCTTGTTCTTATGTCTTCTGTAACTTCCAGTAAAGAAACTACTTAGGAGTTTTTAGTTAGGAGGGGGCACACTTCATTTCACAAAACACAGCCTTCATTTACCACAGATTTAAAAGGCAATGCGATGTCTGGCACTGTTCTACGCACACAGAACAAGAAGTAAACAACACAAACAGTGGTGCTAAATGCTAAGAAGAGATTTGAAATCAGGTGGTGATAATGGGTGACTGTGGTGGCAGGTTTAGATTAGATGCTGAAAAGAGAGGCTCCCTGAGGAAGTAAAACTGAGACTAACAGCACCGGTTAGTGGCGTGAAAATAGAGAACAAAAAGGTTTGCAGAGACAAGAATTAGTGCCAACACCCTAAGGTTCTACTAACGCTGGTGTTTTGAAGGCATAAAGAAGATTAGATGCCAATTCAATGGGGGAAAGAATAGTTTTTTCAACAAATGATGCCGGGACAGCTGGATATTAACACATAAAAGTATGAAACTGAACTCCTACCTCATACCATATACAAAAATTAATTCAAAATGGACCACAGAGCTAAATAACTTCTAAGAAAACACAAGAATAAATCTGTGTGACATAGGGTAAGCAATGATTTCTTAGATATGACACTAAGAGCACAAGCAACAAACGAAAAAATAGATATACCAAATTTCATAAAAACCTAAAACTTTTGTGTTGCAAACAATACTATCAAGAAGGTGAAAGGAAATCCACAAAATGAGAGAAAATATTTGCAAATTACATATCTGATAAGAGTTTATTATTTAGAATATAAAGAGAACTCATAAAACTAATTAATAAAAAGACAACTCAATTTTAACTCAATTAATTAAAAGACAGCTCAATTTTTAAATTTGAGACAACTCAATTTTAATTTAACTCAATTAGTTAATAAAAAGACAATTCAATTTTAAAAAATTTTAAAATTGAGACAACTTAATTTTAAAAATAAAATAGCCATTTCTTTAAGGAAGAGCTACAAATGATCAGTAAGCACATGAAAAGATGCTTAACAACTCTAGTCATAAGGAAAATGCCATGAGATACCACTTTATACTTACTAAGATGGCGATAATAAAAAACCCAAGACAATAATAAGCATTAACAAGGATGTGGAGACACCTGAACCCACTTGCACTGACGATAGGACTGTAAAATGGTGCAGCTTCTTCAAAAAACAGTTTGGTAGTCCCTTGAGAATTTAAATACAGAGTTACCATATGACTTAGCAATTTCACCCTAGGTATATGCCAAGGAAAAATGAAAATATATGTCCAAATAAAATCTTATAAACAAAAATTCACAGCAGCATTATTCACAATAGGCAAAAAAGCAGAAACAATCCGAATGTCCATCAACTGATGAATGGACAAAAGGTGTTCTATCCATACTATGAATATTAAAAAAAAAAAAGAAATATTGATACATGCTATACCACAGATAATCTTGAAAATGTTATGCTAAGTTAAAAAAGCCAGTCAATAAAAGAACACATATTTCATTATTCCATTTTTTAAATGTCCAGATAAGAAAATCTATAGAGAACAAGGAGATTAATGGTTGTTTAGAACCTGGAGGAGAGGGTAAGAATGATGATGAGTTGGGAATGACAGTTACTGGGTACAGGGTAGGAAAAATGTTCAAAAGTTAGACTGTAGTCATGGCTGCATAACCCTGTCAATATGCTAAAAAACAATGAATTGTACACTTTAAATGGTGAATTGTATGACACATGGACTCACAGGCTGAAAGTTTTTTTTTTTTAAAAAAAAAGTAATAAAAAAGGGTGAGTTTGCAGTAACAGAAGGCCGAATTAGCTAATTAATTCAGATTAATCCTACTAAAGACAAAAACCTTGGATAAATTACATTAATTCCATAAAAATTTACAAGGTATTAACCATAAACCATGTTCACAGCATTGTTCTAGACAATGAAGTTTAAAAAAAAAAAAAAGGTTTAAGAAAAAACTTTCAAAAAAGAGCTAACAAGAAAGTAAGGGATACATGGCAAACATCCAGAAGGCAAGTAAGATAAACAATGCATTGATATGTAAAGCCACTTCCGTCTTGAGGACATATGCCAAATAGGAGAATCAGTTGTAAAACTGAGCTACCCTTTTCATGACTTCCCAAAGCTAGAATGGTAAAAGTAAATCTGGGCCCAAAAAAGGTGGAGAATCTAATAAATCCCACCCCAACCATCTTCAAGGCTGGGAACTCATATGGCTATAACCTTCAAGTTACAGTAAACCAAACTATACTCCAGAGCCAAGTCTCCTCAATGATTGAAGGAAACACAGGACTTAAACTGGGCTGAATTAAGGGAACTCTGGATTAGTGGTAGCCTCCTTCTAAAGGTGCCTAACAGAAGCAATGAAAATTCTATCTGGAAAAATGTATATATCCTAGGCCTCAAAATTAATCCCTCAATATTTTTTCAAATATTACACCCAATGCTAACAAGACACAAAGAGAAGACATCCTGAGAAACAGAAACAAACCCACAAAGACTTAAGGTACTGGAATGATCAGATACATAAGAATGCTTATCCTGGTTTAAAAACTAAAGAACAAGTTTGAAAATATGAGCAGGGAATAAGAAATCTGTAAGTGACATAACCGACTTAAATACCTTTAACAAGTCTTCAGCAAATAAAATACAATGAAAACAACAAAAACTAAAATTAAAAACTCATTTAGCAGCTGATCATTCATCACTTCCAAAGAGTGAACTGCAAAAGCAATCTGAAGAAATTATTCAGAAAGTGACAAATAGAGACAAATAGATAAAAATACAGAAAGAATAAGAGACAGAAGACACAGTGACAAGGTATAATAATATTATGGAAAAAAAAAGAAAAAAAAAAAGAAAGAGGCATACACAATATTTGACGAAATAATGGCTAAAATTTTTGCCAACTGGATTAAAGTTACTAACCCAGATTTAAGATTCCCATAGATCCCAAATATGATAAAAAAAGAAAAAAAAGAAAAAAATCTACAGTAAGATACATCATAGTACAACTGAAAAAACAAACCAAACAAACCTTAAAGAAAAAAGTAAAGAGCAAAGAGAGAGAAAAAAAATCTAGACTATCTTCAAAGAAGTTACACTGGTATTTGTGTTGTCTAGAGAACAATGGAAGAGAAAGGCAGAGTAATGATTATCTTACATATGATTAAATCCTACATCTAGTGCTAACCTAGAATCTTTTATCTATTGAAATCATTCCTTAAGAATAAAAGATTTTCAGACAAAACATAGACCTGCACTAAAGAAAAGTCTTACAGGGATATTTTTCACAACTAGAAGGTCAAAAATACAAGCAGTAAATACCTAGGTAATCTAAATCAATCTTGATTACGTTAAGTAGGAAAGAAAAAACAAGATCTAGCATGACAAAAAAGAAAACACAGAAACCACTGACAACATTTACTATGGGTCTCACTACATGTAGGCACGTTGTAAGCTCTTCAAGTATTTTAATTCATTTAATCTTCACAACATATGAAGTAGGTGGTATATTAGCCTGATATTAAGGAAAGAAGACTGAAGGAAAGAGGTATTAAAATTTGGCATATATGAACAGATTACGGAGAGCCCTGGAGAACTGTTATGTTCCATTTCCGGACTTCGACAGTGCTTACACAAAAATGTGATTCAGAATAATTATAGTATATATTTATTTTATGCACTTTTTATATGAGTGTTACATTTAACACACACAAAAATGGTAAAAGAAATGGAAGGAAATAGGGGTGCCTGGGCGTCTCAGTCATAAGCATCTGCCTACGGTTCATGATCCCAGAGTCCTAGGATAGAGCCCCTGCAGAGCAGGGAGCCTGCTTCTTCCTCTCGCATTCCCCCTGCTTATGTTCTCTCTCTGTCAAATAGATAAAATCTTAAAAAAATAAAAAGAAATGGAAGAAAATAAATGTGCCTAAATAGTGACTATGAGGGAGAAAATGGCAGGAGAAAAATTGGCATACATTATAAAATGAAATAGAGATGTGATAGTGCGTATCTATATTATGTGATTTAACTGCAGATTTTCATTATTAATAAATTTGGAACTTAAAGAATCAACTGTCAAATTACTATGCTGTAGATCTGAAACTAATGTATGTCAACTATACTTAAAAAAAATCAATGACTTTAAGGGTTACCTGTATTATACATTACCAAAAGTATAGTTATTTACTATAACTATAGTTATATTTATTTACTATAAATAGTTATTTACCAATAAAAAAAAGTGACAATTTTCTATGTTTTCAACTTTATAGAACCATTTTACTTGTTATCATCACAGGAGTTTCTAATTCATTAAAAACTGAAAAAGACTCTCCTTCAAAGCATTTATTTAATGTATAAAAGCATACCTGATTTCTCAGATAAAGGGAAAAGCCTGGCCAAAAAGAGTTGAATTCGTCCACAGAAGACTGTATTCTGGGATTTTGATAATCTTCTTAGGAGATCTAACAGCATATGGAAATGAAGGTTATAGGAGATTATTCTATGTTTATTACAACTATACCCAAATTTGTTAATCAGTCTGTCAAGAGTATTTTTCTAAAACAGTTCTCAAAATTAGAATAGAAACTATTGTTCCAAAAAAGCACTAAAAAATTCGGAATAAAATGAATTTAGCATTGGCAAGATAAACTTTACTAAACTTTTTTTGGTTTTAAGCTTATGCCCAGAACTGAAACAGTTTAATTTAAAGTGAATGATCAGTTTTAATAAATCAGTCTGTTACTTAAAACTGAAGATACTAATCTATTTTTAAAATTTTATCACTTATGTTTAATTCAACCATCTGTTTTTCTAGCCACATTTATTATAGAAAACAATCATTTACCACTGAATTACTTACCATTGCACATACGTAGTAAATAATTTTTCCCAGCAGAATAGAATGTATTCTGAAATTAAGATACAAATTATTACTACTGTTCAGAAGTTGTTAGACACTCTTCAAAAATAAGTCACAGAAAGGAAGATATTAAAGAACACTGACATGCACTGAGTCTACCCTACCACTTTCACTTTTTCCCCACAAATAGCATTTTCAATTATATTTTCACATACAGAACAAACATGATACCAAATAACTGTTTTAAAGAAAGTGTGCATTTTCAAATTAATTGTTACTACTCAGTCAAATTTTATATTTGAACTTTTTCTTCACTATGACTCTTACTTAGCCCCTCCAAGACAGTAGTATAATTCCCTCATAAGGACAAACTCTTTGGCAGTCAGCAATATAAAAATATAAGGAAAAAAAAAAGTAAATAAATAAATAAATAAATTGTATCTCCTGAACTCTGGATCTACAGAAACATAATGTTAGCAGAAAAAGAAACCATGGCACTTACTGATTTCCAAGTAGCAACATTTTTTTCCACAAAAGTGAATATTGTGTCACATTGATCCAGAGGAAGACAATCCAAAACATCTCCCAACAATACAAAAGGTGTAGATGCAGTACAAATACCTTCAAGTGGAGCACAAGCCAATTTAAAAGTTTAAAAAATTGTACGGTAAAACAGCCCATGCAAAATAATTCTGAAAAATATCTCAACAGCATACTTTGTCACTCCTAACAAATTTTTAAGAGACAAGAAATGGAAGCAACCTAAAAGTCCCCAAATGGGACATACTTAAGTAATTTTTGGTATGTGCACTCAATAATGATGATGATGATAATTCTTGATACACTTCTAGAGCATTTACTATATGTCAGGCACAGAAAGTGCTTTACGTATACTAACACATTTAATCCTTATAACCCTATGAGGTAGATATTACCTCCAGTTTATAGAATGGGAAAACTGAGACACAGAGAAGTTAAATAACTTGCCCAAGGCCATAGAGCCAGTAAGTGGTAGAGCTGGGATACGAACCCAGGCAGTCTGGCTCCACAGTCTGTTTTCTTCACCACTAAGCTATTCAAAAGAATATAATGCAGCCAATTAAAAACGATGGTTATGACGACTATAATAACTTGGAAAATGCTTATGATATAATGTTAAGTGAAAAAGGCAGGATTCAAAACTGTACGTATATTATGGTTACAACAATAAAAGTTTTTAAAAAAAACTAAAGAAACTAAAAACATATACCAAAATGAATGGTAGTTTTTTAAAGTAGAGAAATTATGAGTAGTATTTTTCCCTTTTGCTCATTTCCAAATGTTCCATAATGTTGCTAAATTATCTTTGTGATTTGATTTACCTTCAAAAAAGATAATAAAAAAGTTTGATACTGATTTCATCCATTAAACATTTAAAATAAAGGCATCATTTCAGGGGAAAGAATGGTAGAGTAAAAAGTTATTTCAAAATTCAATGTTATTTAATTAAAACAATAAATTAAAATATTTTTCAAAGAAAGGGTCATTTGACTAGCTCAATGTACTTTCATCTTCCTGCTCATTCTTTCTTCCATTTTAAAGTAACACTAAGTGTTTAAGAAAAGTAGGCTTTTAAGCATAGTATGCAAAGAAAATATCTAGGGAGCACTGTAAGCCCAAAACACTGTAATAAGTTAAAAAAAAAAAACAAGTAATATATCCAGCTCTATTCTGCACTGGTAGGATCACATCTGGAATGTGATGTGAGGGATACTGCCAAGAACCAGTGGGTGGCATAAGGCAGCAGATTTCAACTCAGTTGAAACTCCTATACTATGATCAGTACAAGGGAAACCTGACAAGACTAAAAGCAATCAAGATAGAAAGCCCCATCAATAGGCATAGATGTTGGATGACCATCTGCCAGGAACATTATAGAAGGGAGCAGGAAAGGCTAGAGATGAGACTGGACTGGACAACTGCTGAAGTCCCTTACCACTTAAGACTCTGAGATACTATATGCCCTGTATACCTAAGAGATTTAAGAATACTCCCTGGCAGTAGTTGCAGCATACTGTGACAAAAGTTAACTCACATTTAATTACAGAACTTAAGAAAATTACCTAGATTTCCAAAAGATTCTGATTGAGTAAAACTAAGCTGAGACCTTGCAGTCTCATTTAAAAATAGAGATTCACTGGTGATTCTGATGAGCTGCATTATAGTGTGATCCCCAGAACTTTCAACAACCTGCACCCCAGCCTCTGCACACCCTCTTTGCTTCACTTAACCTTGCCTACAGATACTCCTTCCTCAGTTCCCATTCTGCCATGTTGATACTTGCACGGTTTTGTACACAATGCTTTTTTCTGCCTACACAGTCTCCCTCCTATCATGTGGCAAATTCCTACTCCATCTTTCAAAGCACACAGTAAATATCAGTGCATCTAAAAAACTCCTGATACCTTTGAACGGGCCACCCCATCTATACTTCTGAAGCACAGTATAAATAAATTAGAGCATTTATCATATCCTGTTTATTTTTATGTAGACTATGAGATTTTGTGGGTAGGTATTTTTGTACTTTTTAAGCAGTAAAGTGTCTGACACTAAACAGAAGCTCAATAAATATTTGCTGAGTTGAATTTAATAAAACATATTTATGGATAATGTGAAAACGTCACAAGAAGAACACAATTAATAATCTCTCTTGAGATGGACTATTCCTCATCCAATTAAAATTAAAAAAGCATCTAAGCTTTTATCATAAGTCCTTATCTTTTTCAAATAAAGTTCTAAAAACAGACTCTGAACTTCAAGCATTAAAAATATTACCAGTCTACAAGAGTAACACATCAAGGTAATCAAAGAACTAAGTAAACTGCTGTTTGGCAAAAACTGGGCAAGGAACACTCCCTACTGCAGAACTCATTCAAGTATGCTGACATGAACATCTTGTATAAAAGTTTAAAGTGTCAAGTCAGAATTTATGAGTTATGCTTAAGTTCACAGAATAACATGCTGCTACACTAGCAGACTACTTTTACCTTGAATGTTCTAGTTTTTGTAGGAATAGGTATCAAAAGAATAAATATGTAATACTTTGCAGATTAAAAGGCATTTTTCACATACATTAAATAAATATTTCAACTACATTTGCTAAAAAGTATGGATGAACTAGTTTTTCACTGTTTCCTTCTGCAAATATTTAATGAGCTCCTTCTATGTGTTAGGCACTGTGTACTTCCTATATGCCTTTTTTAGTCTGGCAATTATCCCCCATGGCCACTGCCCCATTTTAACAGTCCCCTACCTAGTTTTCCTGCCAGCAGTCTCTCCCAATCCAACTCTTCCTCCATAGCTCCCTGTTAGCATGGTATACAAAGCCCTTTACAATGACCCTAAGCTACCTTTCCTGTTTCCTTCCTCACCATTGTTATCATCCTCTCACCCCTCTGCTCCACCCAATTCTTTAGCCAGGCTAAGCTTGGCCTTTACACAGCTTTGTATTCCTTTCTGACAAATCCAGAATCTCTCACATCCCAGCTCCTGTTACAGCTTCCCTTCTAAGACCTCCCTGATTCCTTCAGAGTTTAGAGAGTCTCTTCAATCACACTTCATTCCCACTTCACAGTAATTATACCTCAGTAAAAAATTTACACATCTGTTTCCTCCATCAGCCACTAGGCTACTTATGGGCAGTGATATGTTTTCTTTATCACTAAATGTTTAAGTCCTATCTCAGTACCAGGCACATAGTAGATGCTCAATAAATATTTATTGAATAAATGAAACAACTGGAGAACAAAGAAAGTGTCAAAATGTGTGCTGCGTACTAGAAACGAGAAGTGTGAGCTAATTTCGTTGGGACAACTTCTTGGCAAAGGTGGTAGGCAGAATTTGAAAAACGAACAAAATCATATAGATGGAGAGGTATAAGGAAAATAACTTTTAAATAAAGCATGTCACATCCATGATTACTTTAGAAAAACAATGCTGTACTTACCTTCAGTTACTCCCCCAATAGCAAGAGAAATAATAGCTAAAACGTTTTCACATGATGAATGATTTATCTACCAACAGAGGAGAAAACAATTTAATTTAGGAGCCAGAGTCCAGACTAGTTTGGTAACAATAAAAACATATCCTTTGACATTAAAGTATCAGAAACAAAAGACAAACCTATTTCTTGCAGAAAATAAAATTACTAAGATGAAAATATAAAAAACGAGTTAACAGTAATAGAATCACTAATCGCAAAAATAGATCAAGTAAATAATAAGGGGGTGATTCACTTAAAATCCAATGATCTTAGGAAGATGGTTACATTAGCATGATTATGGCTACAAGCTAATCAAGTAAACAAGCACTGAGGCCATAACTCAATCAATGGCACAGGGCAAAGACAGGGCCAGGGGAATTAACTGCACTGTTGCATCAATATGTCTGAGGGTTTTATTTTACTTTTTTATTTTTATTTTTTTTTTTTTAATTTTTATTTATTTATGATAGTCACAGAGAGAGAGAGAGGCAGAGACACAGGCAGAGGGAGAAGCAGGCTCCATGCACCGGGAGCCCGATGTGGGACTCGATCTCGGGTCTCCAGGATCGTGCCCTGGGCCAAAGGCAGGCGCAAACTGCTGTGCCACCCAGGGATCCCTGCCTGAGGGTTTAAAAAAAAAAAAGGGAGGTAGTACTTAGGTTCCATAACATTATAGAAACTAGAACTTTTTAAGTATTCATTATGTGTTGTTTTATATAACCCTGAAGAAGGTTATACACCCTCTTACATGGGAAACTGAGGCTCAGAAAAGCAAAGTAACTTGTGGAATGCCTCATAACATGACTAGGTCTGAAGAAGAGGAAAAAAATGAGTTTTGATGCCAGAACTGTTTAAAAGGAAGGGACACTGTATTGTACCCATTAGAAAAGGATCTAGCTTCTTGGGACACAACCTTCACATAACCAAGAATAAACTGCTGAAAGTTTTCCTTTCCTTTGGGTGCCCCCCTAATGGTAAATAAATTCAGAGTTTTCAAGTTTAGGTTAAATTTTTCTACCAAAGTTGGATAGGCTCTGGCTATTTTTGTATGCTAATGGATGAGGATGCCACAGGAAAATGAGGGCATGGAATCTGAGTTCCCATGCTAAATATCCTTGGACTAGACCTTTTATGCTACTAAAGGATGTGTCACTGTTTATTGAGCAAAGCGAGAAAGTCCACCTTCAAATTATAGTGCTTTCTTGCTCAGGAAAACCTCATCAACTTTTCTTATATTCACTTGTAGAGGGATTAAGGGTTTACCCCTTAAATTGTACTTGTGCTGTCAAAATGCTTAACTATTACATAATTCCTATACTATGATCAAGTCAGCTTTCATAAAGTAGCAAGCTCACTGCAGAAAAAATAATCTTGTTTAAATATCCATTCTGAGAATAAAAGCAATTTAAAAATAACATTTATTAATTTAGCAGCAAAATTTTGACAAGGAAAACATACTTACAATTTCTTCTTCTAGAACACCTCTGAAAGCTTGGTCAAGGGTACATTTTTTTTCATTTTCACTATTAAAAACAAAAGACACCTGCATTTTTAAACAGCTCAAGGTTAAGTATAAAGATCTGGGCAAGTGTATTTCATGGATATCAATGCCTTACCTGCCAGGTAATTGGCTGAAGGTATTCAACAATGGCTTGATATTTTTGTTGTTCAGGGCCTCTCTGGTAGACTTCTAGAAAAATAAAAATAGCATGTAAGTGGAAAGATTTTTGCCTATTATTTACTGAAAAACATCACTCATCAACAGTATGTTTAACTAGAAACAGACTTGGGAAAAACTATCAGTCATTCCATCAATAATTCTTATTCAAATGCCACTTAATGATGCAAACTCTAATCACTTTAAATTTGACAAGAGCTTACCAACTAGACTTTCTCATTCCAGGCTTTCCCTCCCTACCATTTCTTTACATATCACATTCATGAAAGTATTCTACTTTTTTTTTTTTTTTAATCTCCAAATGGCTCCTTATTTACAGGCTTTGGTTTTAAAATTTCACAGCTCCCTCTCAAGGTCCTTGATGCTATCACCTTCAATCTATCCAATCTTATTTCCCACTACCATCTAACATACAGTTTCCACTAAGGTCTAGACATTTTTTCATTATTTTCTACCAAGCTCACTCTAGTGTATTCATTCACTGTTATTCCCACCTGCTCATGCAAATCCTATCCATTCTTTAAGACCCATCTCAAGTCCCATCTTCTCTAGTTTTGCTCAGCCCAGTCTCTAACACACAGTCAACACTGAATACCTGCTAATTGTCTTAGTCATAAATGAAAGTCAAAACAATAAAAAGGGGATTCTGACTCAGTAGCTAGAGCATGTAACTCCTGACGTCAGGGTTGTAAGTCAAGCCCTACTTTAGGTGTAGAAATTATTTAAAAATAAAACCTTAAAAAAAAGAAATATGAAAGACAAAAATATTGGAAAGTCTTTCATTCTGTAGAAACTCACATACACTTGGAAAATTATCTCACTACCCCCAGGGATTCAATTTACACTGGAAATGTCCATTCCTGACTCTGCCAAGAGTAGACTGTATAATCCTCGGCATATCTCCTTATCTCTTTGTGCTTCAATTTCTTTACCAGTTAAATAAGGGGGCTGTCGGGCAGCCCTGGTGGCCCAGCAGTTTGGCGCAGCCTTCAGCCCAGGGCCTGATCTTGGAGACCCTGGATCGAGTTCCACATCGGGCCTGCATGGAGCCCGCTTTTCCTTCTGCCTGTGTCTCTGCACCCCGCCCCCCCCCCCCGTGCCTCTTATAAATAAATAAATAAATAAATAAATAAATAAATAAATATGCTGTTGTAGATGCTTATTACTAACAGCAGCAGTGGCATCACCTGGGAACTTAGAAATACAGACTTTCAGGCTCTATTTCAGACCTACTACACCAGAATCTACATTTAACAAGATCTCCAAGTGATTCCACTGCACATTACACCTTAAGAAGCACGGGACTAGATGATCTCAAATTAAATGGTCCCCTCCAGGACTAGTATATTGGATATTTATTTTCTTTTTTTTTAAGATTTTATTTATTTATTCATTAGAGACACAGAGAGAGGGGCAGAGAGAGAAACAGGCTCCTCACAGGGAGTCCAATGTAGGACTCGATCCCAAACCCGGGGATCACGCCCTGAGCCGAAGGCAGACGCTGAACCACTGAGCCACCCAGGCGTCCCCATACTGGATATTTCTAACAATTACTCTTAGCAGAATTTCAGAGCACCAGGGATTGCAGAAAAACATACAGAAAGAAAAACGATTCTGGAGACATAAACAAGACATTACTTGGTTAACAAACGAACGCTCTTTGAATGGGGTAAAAAAATAATGTGCACACAAGAAAACTTTATTCTGGCGTCACTAAAACTAGGTAAGCACAGTTAACTATTCAAGTAGTTGAATCATAACTTGAAATATTGGCGCAAATGCTAAAAACAAATACAGGCAAGCAACTTAGAACAGGGTTCTTCATGCTCTGATGGGCAACGTAAAATGAACACTGGGTCTGACGTCAGAAACACGAGCGAAGTACATCACCTTACTTTTTTTTTGGGGGGGGGGTGTGATCTCAATTTCCAGCTCATCTACCAGGCTTTAATAGAACTTTGCCTACTTCACAGTGCTATTCTAAGAGTTAAATACGCTAACATGAAAACGCTCTGTAAGGCTTTCCCCAAATGCTCAAACTACTCTTCCAAACTGTGTAAGTATAAAATGACATCCGGCAACAATCCCCAAGCTGATCTCTCTGCCTTTTCCTACTTAGGATCTCGTTAATCTCTTGGGAGCGAGATACGGAAGGCTAAAGGCTGGTGAATAAGCGACCGAGATCCACGACTTGGCAGCTGAGGCGGCGGAGCGCGAGCCAGTCCCCTGGGCTAAAATCACTCCCGCCCTCACCCGTAAGCAATTTTGGAGACACCTGTCCGGCTAAGCGAGCGCTGCGGAAGAGCTCGACCGCACCGGAGGTCGTGTGCGGATGAGCCCTCCACGCGGGGCACAAAGGCGCCCAGACCGCGAGGTCCAGAGACCTGCCGACAGGAGGACGGAGGCGGACAGCACGGGACGCACCGAAGAGGCAAGTAATGCGTCTTTCCCACCTCCCCGCCCCCGACGGGGCCGGGAGCCGACGCCGCGGGGCACACACCTCAGTTCCCGCCTTACTCCAGGGCAAAATTCGAGTATTTTCTGTGAGAGGAGGAAAAAGATAGAGCCAGGTTAGAGCCGCACCCTCCCACAGGCCACTAACCGTGAACCGCGTCCGCGCTTCGGGCAAACTGAAGAGCGGCGGCGTCGGAGACATCTTCTCGGCTGCGCGTGCCCGCCGCCGCGCTGCGGCGCCCGCCGATGACGTCAGGCGGGAGCACCGAGATTGCGGTGTCCGAGCGCGGCTAGAGCGGCCTGGGAGCCGAGGGCTAGGCCCGCTGGCTGCCGGGAGCCTCGCTGGTGACAGTGCGGCCGGCCGTTGGCGGGGCTGAGTCAGCCACAGCGTGCTCGGTCCGGATTCGTGGAGCGCCCTCGGGGTGACGGCATATGGGCGTCCTTGCCCTGTCGGCGTGGTGCTGCCTGGCGGGGACTAGGCCAGCGCGCGCACCTGCGGTGATTTTCCGGCTTTGGGGAAGCTGGGCGAATGGCGGCCAGTCAGGCTACTGAGTCGCGCGGGAAGGTCACCTGAGTCGCGCGGGAATCCAGGGCAGGTGGGTCGTCCGGGGGTGCCCCTGGCGGGTGAAGTGGGGGCAGCGCCTGTGAGCCCCGGACGGCAGTCGTTCTCGCCGAGGGAGTGCTCTTAGCTGCTGCCTTGCTGAGTAGTTAGTCCACCGACCCTGTAGCTTAGGAGCAGTTCCCTCTTCCGTGAAGTAGAAATAATGCCCGTTTTACAGGACTGTGGAAAAGCACCAATGAAATAATGAAAGCAAATGTGGCTTCTCTGGGACTAGAAGTATTTTTTTCTTTTAAGATCTTATTTGTTTATTCACGAGAGACACAGGCAGAGGGAGAAGCAGGCTCCACGCAGGGAGCCCGACCTGGGACTCGATCCAGGGTCTCCAGGATCACGCCCTGGGCTGACGGCGGCGCTAAACCGTCTGAGCCACCCGGGCTGCCCCTCCTTGTCAGTCAGTATCTTAGTATCCGTTGACTTTTCTGCATATAGAGGCCTCTGCCGAGAATTTGCAGTTCTGGGCGCTCATTTGCAAACGGGTGGCACCCGTTCCAAAAATGCTTTCTCCTCAGCAGTTTCCTCCCCTGTCGCCTCACTGGAGAGGCGTGGCCAGTGAGACGCCAAGCGGCACTAACTTTCTCGGTTGGAATCGTGCTGCGGGGAAAGCAGCACCGACCTGAACACTCAGTCCTGTTCCCTCCCATGTATACCTTCTCCCTTCATTGTCATCTAATAAGAATACAGGAAGCTTAACCAAAAGATAACTTTGCATAGTTTTGCCCTTAAGTGGGAATTGTCAGACAGTGGTGGCTACCTGAAGCATTACAATCTTGTTTAGGAATCAACTGAATCATTCAAGTTTGAGTGTATGACTTAAATTCCAAATCGGCTGGAAAAAACAAAACAAAACAAAACCCAAACCTGGTATTAACTGATTTAATAGGTAGCTGATGTAATAAGATTATTATTATATTACAGATGATTATTAACTGGAGCACAGCTAAGACCTAAAAAGTAAATAATTTTTCTGGGGACGCCTGGGTGGCTCAGGGCTCCGGGATCGAGTCCCACGTTGGGCTCCTTGGATGGAGCCTGCCTCTCCCTCTATCTATGTCTCTCATGAATAAATAAATAAAATCTTAAAAAAATAATAATTACAGTTTACGATTTCTATCATGAGCAATTTAGATCATAGCTACCATAAGCGACCAAAGGAGAGAATCAATACCATATTTGGTGGTCAAGGAGCCTTTGTGGAGAAGATAGACTATGAGCTGGTCCTTGAAAACTGGACCTGGCAAAGAGTGAATAGGAGAAACCTTCCCAATGGAAGGAATGGTATGAGCAGAAGTGTGGAAGGGAGAAGGCACAAAGATAGCCATTTATTTTGACTATGACATTGGGTTCTGCACAGAAATAGAGCTGAAGAGTTAAGCTGGAACTAGATTGTATTAATGTTTGAGGCCAAAAAATGTTACAGGTTTAAAAATGGCTTTTATGGAGGCACCTGGGTGGTTCAATATGGTTAACTGTCTGCCTTTGACTCAGGTCATGATCCCAGAGTCCTGGAGCCTGCCATTCCCCCTGCTTATGTTCTCTCTCCCACTTTGTCAAATAAATAAAATCTTTTTTTCAAAGAATGGCTTTTATAGCAAGTTATTACTGGCAGTATATTTTGGCGTGAAGGAGAAAAATGAACTGTTTTCCTGCTAATTAGCAAAGCAACATCAGATAAAAGAGTAGGGAAAAAAAGGTAATCATTAGGTGACAATGGGGAGTTATGTTTGATGAGTGCGGATTTTAGCTTGGGATGACAAAGTTCTAGAGATGGATAGTCATAATGATTGCACAACAATGTAAATGTGCTTAATGCCACTGACTTTTATGCTTAAAATAATTAAAATACTAAATTTTATGTATGTTGTACCACAATGAAAACTTGAAAAGAAAACCGTTTTTTAAAAAGGCAGCAGTCTGCTACTAGATAACTTAAAAAGGGCAAAAACATCAAAAGCATTGGCATGATCTTGAGAACTGAAGATTATATTCACTAAGGCCAAGAAGTAGAGAATGCAGTTTTTGAAAGGTGTGCACCAAAAATCACTATAGTAAAAATATTTTAGCATTTAGATCATGTTAATTAATGCTTTATAATTCCAAATGCACTCAACATGAGGTATCTCGTATGGTCCTCTATATGATATTTTGAGGTGTGTAATATTACCTACAATACAATTATCCTACAATTATTCCATCCATGAGGAAACAAACTCAAAGAGAGGGTTCGTGATAGAGGCAATCAGCAAAATAAGACCAAGAGTTTTGATTCCAAATTTTGTGCTCATTACACTGTTACATTGTCATGAATAATGCTCAAGTTTTACTGAGTACCTCCTTATGACACTTTCTTGTATTTCAGTTCCTTACAACAGTATTGCACATAGTTATGTAACAGTGAGGAAACAAGTTCATCTGTCCTAGCTCACTTGGCTAGAGAAAGCTAATTTGGGATTTGGGCCTAGCTTTAATCCCAGAGCCTGTATTTTTCTCAAGTCTTAATTCTGAATCATTATCAAACCATAAACCATTATTGTCCCATAAATTATTGCCTTACAGTCAGATAAGGGTGAGGATCACATTGTTATGACAAAACATTAGGGGTCTTCAAAAGTATGTAATAACACTCAAAAGGCAGACATCCAATGGCACATAACAACTTCACTTACAGTTTTTGAACACCTGTTTTTCCTGGCGAGGTAAAGTGGACCAGGGACTACCTCCAATGAGAATTCTAGGCTTGGTGGTTTAGGTAAGTTCTAAGCAGTCACATCACTATTCTTGTCTTTGGTGTCCTTTCACTGGGATTCATGTTACCATTGGCTTGATGACAGAAGAGGACCAAGCAGACAGCTTAGCTTTTTTTGTTCTTGTCTTTATCCTGTAGTCTAGGCCTAAGGAAACTTTTTGTTCTGTGCTCACCGCTACATGAGGATCCATTAGAGCTTTTGCTGGTTCAGGTTTTGGGCCCCAGGCATCTCTCTCTTTCTCTCTCTAACTTGAATGGATTGAAATAGAGAACTGATGTTTGAGAGGAAAAGTTGAGCAAACAAAATGAGACTCCTGCATTTGGAGTGGAGTAAAACTTCAAAGAATAAAAATGGAAGACAGATGGCACATTGTATGTATTTGGAACTTAATTTTTGTGGCAAAACGGGAATTATATGAAAAGTATGTGTGGCTACTGTATTTTTATAAGGTGGTGGCAGTTTTCAAGCATTTTATATTGTTAATATTGTGCTAGTCATTTGATACACATTGTCTACTACCTACCAGGCACAAGTACAATATTACTGGATTATATATCTAGTATTATATTTTATTAAGTTCTAAGTACTGTAAATATTATCTAGTGTACATTGTAAAATCCTATGTGGTAAGCTTGGTTGAACCACACAGATGAGGTGAGAATAGAAGTCACAGAAATGGATGAATAGATGACTTCTTGCCCTGATAAGTCCAGCCTCCCTACAGAGTTAGGTAGAGAATTTGCCTGAAATTGTGCCATTGCTTGGCTTGTTCCTCTCTCCTGTCCTAATACTCTCTCTCCTTCCCTTACTTAAGCTTCTCCTGGCAGCACCTAAATGATTTGCCCACAAATTCTTACTTCAGGTTATGTTCTGAAGGTTCTGACTGTTAAGTTTGGGTTTACCAAGAAGCAGACACCAGCATGGGATTAGTGTGCAAGAGTTTATTATGAAGGGAGCAGGAGCAGACAGAAAAGCCCATGGACCACAACATGGACTTGATACCTGTGGAAGGAAAGAGGGAAGGGAAGAGGGTGAGGTAGGAAGTTTCTGAGTGAAGTGCAGCTCCAATATAGGTCTGACTTTGCCAATGAGGACAAGTCAAGTCCAATTTCTTGTCAGAAGAGTCTTGCAGTTTTCCAGAATGAGCCTGAACTAGGACCTTGCCATGCTCAGTTATTGACTAGAAGCAGCCCTCAGTAAGTTTGGCCTCCGTGCCACTGTGGTGGATCCAGAGGCTAGCTGCTAGGGCTGTTGGTCATTTGTGCTCCCTACAGCAAAAAGATCTGAGTTGAGCATTTTCAGGGCCACCACAGTATCCTAGGGTATTCATATAATAATGTTTTATTCATTCATTTTTGGAAAATATTTTCATTTGTTTATTCTTAACAGTAAATATGAACCTGGCACTTGTATGAAACAGAAGAGTTATTGCCCTCAGGAAGCTTTTGTTCTGTGGGAGAGCAGATTTTTTTAAAAAAAGTAAATAAAAATATAACAGAATTTAAGCACAACAGCACTCAAGCAATGCTATAAATTCCTGCATAGCATTTATCACACAATGAAATCCTAAGTGCTTTACATGTGTGAACTCCTTTAATCTTCCCAGCAAACTTAAGAGATTTATTCTTTATTAGTCCCAGGTTACAGGTGAAGAACTTGAATGGTGCTGAAGTAACTTAGCCCCCATGGTCACTCAGAATCAAAGGAGTGTGAGACTCAGGCAGACTGTGCTTGGGCAGTATGTAAATAGAATTGTTAGAAAAGACTTCTCTGAGGGAATCATGTAAGTTAAAACTTAAGGGATAGAAAGGCATTAGTAGTTGTATTTGAGAGAGTGGGATTTGGCAGGGGAAAGCAAGAAAACATTCCAAGGAGAAGGTACAGTGTGTGCAGTGGCTTGTGTTAGGAAGGAGGCTGTTAGCATATTTGAGACCTGAAAGAAGGTATTATGGGAGCACGATGGAAAAGCATTAGACAGTAAGGTTGGAGAAATGGACAGGACTGGATTGTTCAGGACTCTGTACTTCACTGGAGTTTCATTCTCCTCTATATGGTATACTATAGCCTGGAATCTCATTGAACACACAAAAGTTTGTTTTAAAAGTTCTCTGTTTTTCCATAAATTGTTTCAAAGGTGAGTCATTTTCTTTCATTGGCCACCTTGCTTCCACTCTGGAGCATCTGATTTCCTTCATGTTAGTGGTGATATCTCATTATGTATTCATGTTTATAAGTGAAGGTCAAAATTGCTCAATCATAAGAGCTATTTCAGGGGCTGTTCCACTCCTCACTTGCCATTCCCACCCCCTTTCACCCCATTCTTGTAATAGACAAAACAATGGTGGGCATATGACCGGGCCAAGCTAGCAGTAAGTCTTTGAAATTATTTTTCTGTGTCTGAAAAATATGGCTATCATTAGAGTTCTTTTTTATAAACAGTAGGGAAACCTACTGTGGTTAGTGTTTGTAAGTAAAGTAAGTTTTTGGGAGGGTATCAGGAAGCTAATACAACAAAGGTTAAAGTTTGGGCAAGCCTCAATGGAAGCAAGATATACCATCGGTCTTAATGATGCCCTTGCTAATGCCATCTCCAATGGCTTGGCTCTACTCCTGGTTTCTGTGGTCCATGGACACTTGCCATCACATCACTCAACACCCATCACCACACCATGCTGCCACAGCTGTTCTGTATCACCTCGAGTCCTAAAACCTCTTCCTCTAGTTTTGAGATCATGACTGGGAGTATCTGATTGGCTATACTCAGCTCTTGTGTTCATGCTCTAGTTTCCAGAGAAGAGGAAAAGTGATACCTGTTCTTCCTTACCTTTTGTGACACACAATTTACCAAAACTGACAAAGAAATAGGACATAGAATACAACTATTTTAAAGAAATTGAATGTTTAATAAAAACATTTCCAGAGGGGGAATCCCTGGGTGGCTCAGCAGTTTAGCACCTGCCTTTGGCCCAGGGCACGATCCTGGAGTCCCAGGATCGAGTCCCGCGTCGGGCTCCCAGCATGGAGCCTGTTTCTCCCTCTGCCTGTGTCTCTGCTTCTCTCTCTCTCTCTCTCTCTCTCTCTCTCTCTCTCTTTCCCTATGTCTATCATGAATAAATAAATAAAATCTTAAAAAAAAAATTTCCAGGGAGCAAACTCCAGGTCTAGATGGCTCC